GCTGTTATTTTCTATAAATATATACCTAAATAACTGTTATTTAATTAAGTGCAATAAACAGCAAGAAAAGTATCGTGCTTCCAGTGAAAAGACAGTACACCATATATTAAATATATGGATAAACAATCTGAATTTCTATCATTTCCTACAATTTACTGTGGGAAAACCAGAGTTGATAACCACTTGTCGTAATGATCATTTTCTAAACAACGTTCCCACGAGTTCTTTCTATGGACTGATGGTAATTATAACTTTCCAACATGTAATGTAAATAGGACATTCAATGTCATTTTCGATTCTTTTAAGTCTCACGGTCTAACTAATGCCAGTATCAACAGAATGTGCCGCAGCATTACTATCTTTTAGATACCCTAGTATAAAGATATTTGTTTTGAAGCTCAGCGGACATCGCATTTTTACTATGCTGACTTCAATTTTTCAAACACTGTGCACAGTTAATTCGCTGTTTACTGGCTTTAGGAAGTGGTCTGTTTCCATATAAATTATACTTTCCCACGAATGTTGTGCATCTAAGTACTAGCTAACAATTCTGAAGCAATTACTCTTTGCTTAGACTTCGGCAAAGTCCTCCGCAGTCGCGTCGTTATGTTTTACGCTCGCTTCGCACCGCTCGCCTTGGAGTTACGAACAAAATGTTTTCACCTGTATTACTGATAAAAGAGATCGACTTCGTCTGAAGTCTTCTCACGCATTCCGAGCTCGGTGACTATTGTTAAGCTAGCATAACAAAAGTGTAAAACGTGCCAAATTGATTATCATAGTCTGATTGATATGTTCAGCAGTTATACTCTTCGTCCAAGATAAAAATTTGCAACGAATTTGAAAACAGGGGTTCTGACTTCGCAAAAAAAAATTGTCATGGGTGATTTAATAGCCAGAAAATGTTTACGTTTTCGTGTTAAAAAGAGAGGTCAACAGAAAGCCGCGATTCATTATTTTGTGTTTGAAGTTCAGGCAAACGACATCTCTTCACTTTGCATTTTCTTTCCGTCTTATTGTCTTTCCCATTTAAGGTTTAAGAGAGGACTGATCTTGAGTGACTACCGACAGTTAGAGGAAAACCTAACAGAAGGTGCAAAGATTCACTGTAGGGACTCTGTGGGGGTCGGGGGTAAGTGTGAATATAGTATTTAGAACTGGTTGGCACTCCAGGGTGATTTACGTTGAGACTTATAATAATAGAGAGATTTAAGAGTGACGTTTACGGCAAACGGTGAACGTGAGATTCAAGTTGAGAATTACTCAAAATAGAAAACGTGGAGTTAAAACAGTCCAAAGCAATTGTTAGAGACCAAAGTAACTTGGGGCTACTAATTTTAGGGGTAGAAGTAATGAACAGTAAAGTACGAGTTAAGGGAAAACTTGGTCACCTGGTACAAATTCACGTTTGCCGTTTGCCGTAAACGTGACTCTAAATGACTCAAAATCTCTTTAATAATAAGTTCATTTATATAGCGTTATTCCACTAACTGCCCATAACGCTTTACAAATCATTCTACACAAGCAATTTACAAATCATGCTACAAAATCTATTTACAATATCTCTTTACGATCAAAATTATAGAAATAACTAACTAGTTATAGCTATTGCGAAGTGCCAACGAGCAAAGATTTTACCTATGCGCGCGCTGTTCAATTTGTTTAGAAATGTTAGAATTACCGTAATTTTCGTCGATGAAAAACACCACGTAGATAAACGGGGGGTCGACGAACGGCTTTAAATGAAGGGTGGATTCAGTGGCAACATACGCGTATAGCTGTAGCATTTGTCCGCTGGAATTTTTTATTGTTTCTAAGCTTAAAAACAACAAAAAATTCCACCGGCCAAATGCGACATCTGAAACGCGTATGTTGCAAATGAAACCCACCGATGATTGGTTGAAGACGGGATAAGAACGGGACACACAAACTTGCACACGGCTCGTGGATTCTCTGTTCTGTATCACGTGTTCGATCGAAAACAATGCATTCTCTGTTCTTCATTACGGCATAAAAGTTACCTTACACTATCTTATGTTACATCGCCTCGAGATTCTTTCTTCCTTGGAACTTTCGCGCTCGGCTTTATCAGGTTGCCGCCTGGCAGCCTCGCGTCTTCGCGAGGCTGCATGTTGGCAATTACTTATCATTAACTAATTGAAAATTCTAACGATACAAATGTAATAAGGTAAAACTTTCTTGAAGAGAGACTACAAATTGCAAATTGTGTTAGCCTTTGAAAAATTTACGAGTGCTTATTTATCCCAAATTGCACGAGAAAAATCGTGTGATTACGTATTAATAACATTCATGAAAAAATTGCGAGATAGCTTTAAAATCACATTGATAGAGAGGCAACACGCGTAAACTACGTGCAAAAATAATTTATTCAAATGCAGCAAATATCAGGATCACACGTGTAGTCAAAAAAACATTTTTCTCGATGTTTTTAAAGTTTGCAAGCCGCAGAAACGGGCTGAACAGTTCATGGAATTGTTCAGTCTGTTTGAATAAAAGATTCTGGGTTATTACCTCCGAGTTTTCAGCTCTCCCAGAGAATTTCTTTTTCCTCCTCTGATACTTGCTGAGCTTTGTTTAGGCGCTTGCCACAGCCAGCCAAGCGAAGCTGTTTCGCTTTGTTCTCCAACACTTGTTTGGACGAACTAAATTCTCGGTCACGTACAATGGACAGGGTGCAGCCTTTGTTCTTTAAAGCTGCGTGGAAACGGACGCAACAACTCCCAAAATTGTTGCGCCAACAATGTTGGGAGTTGTTACGTGCGTGTTGGCAGTGGTCTGCAAACGGATGCAACAACTCCCAACAATGTTGGGACCTGCAGTGCATCGTGGGAAGGATACAACCCATAAGTCTTTGTAAACCATGCGTATGAGGGTGTTCAATACTAATTGAGGGGTTTCAATAAAACTTGAAGTAGCCGGCAGGTTTGATTAGAGTAACCGGCTGTACTTTATCTAGGGGGATCTGGGGGAGTGCTTCTCCAGAAAATTTTAAAATTTCAAAGCCTTACATGCGATTTCCAGCGTGCTGAACGTGAAAAGTTGACTTAAATACAGCGTTCACATAACCAAGTAACTAAAGCGTACCATAAGTTTGGTGGTTCTTTGTGAATTAGAAAAAACATCATAACTGCGTTTTCATTGATATTTTGAGACATATTCTTTGTTTGCGACTTTATTAAAACGTTATAGTTGCTTCTTCTTTCGCAAAAAAAGTAAGCGACTTCTCTGAGCAAAGTAGTTGACGCATGTCGTCGGTCGTCGGTGCTTATTGAAACCCCCTGTTAATTGCAGCCTATTGCTCTGATATTTAGGAAGTCCAAACAAAAGAGCATTACAATAGTTAATCATAGACGTAACAAAGGAGTGAACTAAGGTTTTAGCAGAACCTTGATCTGAGAATTTTCTTATGTTCCCTATGTTTCGAAGATAGTGTGGGGAAGTTTTACATACCATTCTAAATTTATGTTTATCCATTGCCATATCCTGGTCAGGTATCACTCCCAACTTCTTACAAGAGCTGGTGTTTAGTAGTTTCAACTCCTACTTGAATGGAAGTGACCATTGGCCGTCATCGATACTTGGAGCTTATAACCAAAAGCTTTAGCTTGTTATTAGTCATCCATCTGCCAATGTCCACGACACAGCGATCAACCTTAGTCCTGGACTGGCCTGCCTATACATCATTATAGGTGACATAATATATAGATTTAGCCAGGGCTAAAAGCGAAGCTCTGGATAATATTTATAGTTCGCTCAAACAAAATATAAAATCGTGTAATGCTAAGCGGCGAAGGCAACGAGAACGGTGAAAAAACAACAATAGGTCTAATTAGCAAAAAAGCAACTCTTCCAGAAACTTCCTGGTTATAGGTTTTATGGAGGAAATGTCGTGCGTGTTCTTTTGCTCACTTGGTCGCTAGCATTTCTAATTTTCTTACCGCCGCAACAAAATTTCCAAAAAATTTCTTCTTCGTTTTTAATCTCTCGCTCTAGCTCTCTGTCGCTCTTTTTCTCGTTGAGCTTCGCTAGCCTGTCGCCTACTTTCTCATTTTCATGTCTTTCTCTTTCTCTATATTCCAAATTTGTGGACATGACAATGAACCTAAGCTTAATACTTTAGACAACACAGATATAGAAGCAATTTCCGCTTTCCGTTTTTTTCTCTGCGGGTGGCTATGCGATTTCCCGCTAAAATAACCTCGAGTTGCATTTGGGTTGCCATACGGGTTGACTGAGTTATTTTAAATTGGTATGCCTGTGGTGCGGACGGACGGTAGGTCGGTCCGGCGGGCGGGCTTATGGTCACGTGATTTCCAAAATTTCTCGGGTGGGTAGATTACCACAGTTTCTGATGTATAAGGTTACGCTCGCGCGCGCTTCGCGCACGTGGAGCTTCCGCTATAATTGTGTGTCGTCAACATAGAAGTGGTACTGTAGATTATGGGTGTGTTCCTTTGGGATGATCCTGATCCAGATCGTCTCAAAGGAACGCACCCTATGAGACTTAATGATGGCTGGAACGGGCGCGGTGTATAATACATAAAGTTGGGGCCCAAGACCGACCCCTGAGGAACCCCACATTGAGGTACGCGTAGTCGACTTACTGTCCTCGACTTGGACATAGTTCTTTCGAGGTTTTAGATAGGACTCAAACCAAGCAAGGGCCTTACCATTGAGAACAAATCGGTCTGATAACCTAAAAACAGAATAGAATAACCGACAGTATCGAAGGCCCGTAGAAAGATCTAATAATAAAAGAATTACCGAATGGTTACTGTCAATGACACAAAGAATGTCAATGTATACTGTTATTTTAATTTTTCAATCCGTAGATAACGTTCCTTTGTCACAATTCACATAACGTTCTTGTTCTTAAATGATTTGGGTGCTAGTGGGGGTAGGGCATAATAGCTTTTGTGAAAACTTAGCTCCTTTTGTCATTATATGAGATGTAAATTAACTCTTACAGGTCTACTCTGATGGCTTCTGCTCCAACATTGGCTCCATCCAATAAGGAGACGACTAATTACGCCAGATTGTGTCGCCTTTTAGTGGATGGAGGCACCAAGGCCTTAAGATACACCTTTGACAAGTTCCACTCCCCAGCAAACCTGTTTAATGTTTTGAAAGCTGGTTCTCCAGAGCATTCAACTCTGCAGTCCCTTAAAAAGAAGAAAATCATCAATACCATGCAGTGGGGTAAGCTGTATCCCTCTCCTCCTTCATCTGTAACATCAGAAGACTTTGACATCACGCTACTGATGGTGCTACTGAGGAACATCTGCGGCCTGGCTGCTCCTGCCACAGGCTGGGACAGTCTTCCACCTGCTTCAAACACCAGTGTTGAGGCTAACATAGTCAGAGTGAAGTATTATAGGAACTCGGTCTATGGGCATGCCATCCAGCCGTCTATGGACGATCCAACTTTTAAGTCCTTGTGGCAGGATATAAGTGCTGCACTGGTTGTGCTGGGTGTAGATGCAGCTGCTATCACAAAACTAAAAGATGAGACCATGGATCCAGATACAGAGAAGCATTACCGAGGGCTGTTAAAGGAATGGAAGAAAGACGAGGATATCATCAAAGACCAACTTGATAAAATGGAAGGTACAGATTACTATTTTGTAGTGTTTTGGAAAAAGAAGGGTGTGATTAGAATAAGGTTTAGGTGGTGTTCAAATGAAAGCTTAGAATTCGACAAAATTAACTTTCTTCTTACAAAGAACACTTTTCATAACTATAAACTGACATCTGAAGGACTACAAGCAGATTTAATTTAACGTCTTAAGGCTAGTGACTGTGTGTTGTTAAGTTAGCAATTGTTGGATTCGGCTTTCATATGATCTGAAGAATTAGGCAGATCTCGGATGGTGCTATCCGATAATGCAGCCGAACCTGTGCTGAAAAGAACAGCAGTAAATAACTCGAATAGCTAACGATTGTTGAATTCGGCTTTCGAGATAAGATGGATAAGGTCCGGTTTAAGCGCGGAACGTTTCATTAGCTGAACCTAAATCTAAATCAAATCAGCGTCTAAATCAATTAAGAACTCCTTTAACTTCGGCGGAGCGTGAAGTAAAGGATTCGCGACGCTCAGGAATGTCCCAAAGTTGCTTTTTTGGGACAAGATTGGGCACGCAAAGTCCGTAGGTTTTCGGCTTTATTCGGCTGTTTGACGAAGTGAGAGCCGAATTAGTTCGAGATATCTCGAGATCACTTCGATTTCTTTGATTTATTCTTTAACTTATTGGAGGAAGAAAGAATTATTATTTTGGCTTTCCCGGAGTTAGAACCTACTCACCTGTGTGGCCTGTCAGCTCAGAGGGCCACTGCGAACCAACGTAGTTTGGGATATGAAAAATAGCTATGAAATTATGCACTAGTTTCAGGACAAGATTGGACACGCAAGTTCGTGACTTTTCGGCTTGTCTCGGCTATTTCACAAAAGGAGACCGGAATTACTTTGAGATATGTTGAGATCACTTCGAGTTTAGTCTTAAATTACTCAAGGAATAAACAAAAGATATTACAAGGCCGCGCAGAGACACGAAATTTCTCTTCGAGTGTTGAAAAAAATTTCATGAGTGAGTTTCGAACTGTTTTATGATGAATTTAAAGTTACAAAATGCTGCAAAAAGACGTTTTGTTTTTGTTGAGCTTTAGCCAATTCCATGTTCAACATAACTGACTCTTTACCCATGCCTTACAATTATCTTTAATCAGCACATGACAATGTTATGCTGTTTTTGAAGCCTGATGTAAATAAAAAAATAGAGAACTCTTTCTTCACTGTTTTCTTGTTGTTGTTAGACTTGATACTCAACGCCAGTAATCTCATATTTGACTTGGGTCTAAACGTTTAGACCCAAGTCAAATTATGGAGTCATCAGAGCAAAACTGGGCTAATATCTTCGAGACAATTTGCCCCGGAATGCTGGTTTTTGGCAAGTAGGCCCCTTGAATGTTGCTCTTTTCAGAACACAAATAAACTCCCATAATTTGACAAATTTAATTTTTATGACGTCAACACTTTACAACTCTTTTGGCACCTTACTCCCACCATATATCATTTCTTACTATTCCTCCGCATTTACAATTAATCCCACAACCACGACCCCGAAGTGTACGCTCCATAGCGTCTGGTTCCAATTTGGAACGGCTCAGCCGTTCTTTCTGCCTAGCCCGGCCGGGAATGTCGACTTCGGATCGACTTTGCGCGGCTTTGATTCAGACGCCGAACTTTTCATGTACCCAACTAAATGCATAAGTTATTATAACGTATTTTGTAAGCAGTTTGACTGAAATCAATATTTTGTCCTTCTTAACCTGTAGTTCGGCCTCCTTCAATAATTGGTAATTATCTAAGCTGACAAGTTGGACACTGAGGGAAACCGTTTTTTTTTCTCCAGGTAAAATCAGAGATAACCTTGAGCAGATGAAAAGTGAAATGGGAAAGATGAGCGAGACGCTGAAGGCTATGAAAAATTCTGTGACAGAGGATAAGGGTCAGTTTCCAAAAAAATGAAACAAAATAAAATTTATTAGTTGTTTGACTGAGTCAAGTTAACTTTTAATAACGTTTTTAGCAAAATGAATTTTAAATTCTTAAGACCTTTTCACTAAGGAGTGAGAAACAAACCATAAGAGAAGCGAAATGGAAAATGTTAGCGAGAAGATAACAGAGGAAGGAGGTCAGTTTCTAATGTTAATTCTAAATTCCATAACTTGGAAACCCTTTAGTTTGAACACTTTGTATATTGTTACAAAGTGCCCAAAATTAAATCAGCTCTACTATATTAAATAGGGTCAAGTGTATGGAGAAGGCTGTCACTTACAACAGTATAAATTCTATAAACTGGCATACATTTAACTTGTCCTCAATAAAAGGTGTGTGATGAAAGTCCAATTTTGCTTAGCATATGTTTTCCCGACAGAAAAAACGAGAAAAGACCTGCAGCAGATGAAAAGCGGGATAGAAAACATCAGCGAGACACTCCAGACTTTAAAGGCATCCCCGACCAAAGAGAAAGGTCAGTTTCCTCAACCAACAGCCCACCGGAATTAAGTATCCCTCTTAAATGGTTGTTTAAAGCCCCGTATTGCTGATTGATCAGTGAGTTTGGGTCCCATAAGAACAATTTCATATCCACAAAGGATTTACTCAAGAAGACCCAACGTACTGGCTACAACTTACTCACTTGCCTTTAATAAAATTGTAATTTTCTTAACAAGTCTAAGGAGGACGGATGACATGCCTTGAACTTTCTGAGAAAAAAATCGCTAGGCTGTTTATTGCTATCTATTCTCCCGTAAAGATGGTAACATTGGAGCCACCTACTGGAATGGGGGCTATCTTGGTTTCAATACCGAGGGGTCGCCCATTTTTTTTTAATTTTCAGCGAATGTTTTTATTTTGTAGCAATACTTTTATTTGATTCATGTCCCTTGTGGGCAACCGTGGGTACTCTCCCCAGATGAGAAAGAGATGACGTCCATATCAAACTCAGNTCACTTCTTTGTTGTAAAAATTGATAATAAGGCACACCTTTGTCCCTATTTTATAAAAAAAGGAGTCCCCTCTAAAATGGCGCCGTCTAAACAAGAAGGGGCCCCTTTGCTCTTTCCTTTTTATTATTTTAGGCCTCCCCCCCCCCCCCCCGCCCCCCCACACACATACACCAGTAACGGATGTGTTGTGGCTTAATTTTATCCTTGGTTTAAATTTTATCTTCTTTTGTTTCAAACTTATTATTATGTGATTATCATACATTACAACACCCAAACCAAAAGGAAACAAAATTTAAAGCTAAAATAAAATTGAACCACAGCAGATGTTTCACGCTTTCGTTTGAAGCGTTGTTGATTGAATTGGCTAGGGGAAATGATTGTTTCGTTTAGCAAAGTCACCTCCTCCTCGCATATTTTTCAGGGTGATAGTTACTTTTTCTTAGGGACTTAAAGAGTAGCAAACCAAACTGGTTTAGACAAATCTTTGCAACATTATATTGGTTCTCATTTCTTCTCATCAGTTGGTTTGGTTGCCGAGCATATTGAAATTATTCGCCAGAAGTACAAACGTCACGAGGGATGGCTCGCGCCCTTTCCTTGGTGCGAAGACTTTCACTTTCAACTTAGAGATATTTATACACGGCTTCGTATAGTCAGCAGAGAGAAAAAAGCAAGAGGAATAGCGACACAAACAGCCGTTGAAGCGACTGAAATCTTCAAACCCCACGAAGAATGCAAACAACCTAAAAAGGTATTGATTGAAGGAAAGCCTGGAATGGGAAAGACAACGTACTGCAATAAGGTTGCTTACGATTGGGCCGTAAAGATAAAAAAAGAAGGAGAATTCTTTCCGGAATTTGAGATGGTGCTTTTGGTGAGATGCCGTGATGTCGAGATCGAGTCCGACCTTTGGGGAGCCATTGACGATCAGCTTTTGCCAGGTGAAATTCACCGAAAGGAAAGAGAAAAATTCTTCGAGTTCATTCGGCAAAATCAATCGAAGGTTCTACTGATACTTGACGGATTAGACGAGTTACCTTCGAGCAAACTGCCGGAGTTTACTGACATCATACAAGGTAAAATACTTCCTTTATGTCACCTTGTGGTTACAGCGAGACACGAGGCTGGTATACCAGTGAGAAAAGTTTGTGACACTCTGCTAGAGATTGAAGGTTTCACTTATCAAGATATCAAAGAATTTATTCACAAATATTTTGTCGGCAAGGAAGATTTGGCCGAAAAGCTCTTGGATAAAATACAGAATGAGGAAAGGCTCAGAGAGATGGCGGCAAACCCTTTAAACACTGCACTGCTTTGCCTTCTTTGTGAAGACTTTCAAGGTATTTTACCTGAAAGCAGAACTCAGTTGTATTTGGAAATAGTAAAATGTGTCCTCATTAGATACAGGAAAAAGAAAGGTCTATCAGTCGAAAGTGAGGATCTGATTGAAATCTACAAAGATCAGTTGAAACTCCTTGGCTTGATAGCTTTAAACGGCCTGTATGAAGACAACATGTACTTTGAGGACAAAAAGCTTTCAAGTGAAAATGCCGACTTAGCTGAATTTGGCTTTCTGTCAGCTCAACCTGGAAGCAGCAAACGAAGGCCGTGTCTGTGCTACGGCTTTACCCATAAGAGTTTTCAAGAATTCTTCGCAGGGCATTATCTTTTTTGCCAGCTTTTTAGCGAAGAAACCAGTCCCTTCATATTAGTCAATGACCCAAGATTTTTCCGAGAGCTGAGAGAGGTATTGAAATTTACCTGTGGTCTGCTGGCAGTGAGATCTCAAGAAAGTGCAGTATCTCTTATCCTCTGCATAGCGAATGAGGTAAACGAAGAAGAGGTGAGAGAATGTTTACCTCTTGCACTGGAGTGCATAAAAGAATGCAAAATTGAAAACAGTTATTTTCACATAGAATTGGCACGTACCTTTGGCGCATGTCTGGAGGTTCAAGAGGCTAATCTTGAAGGTCAGGAAGGTATAGATGACGCTGCCGCTGCTGTGCTTGCTGCCGTTCTTGAAACAAACACAACTCTGACACATTTGTATTTGTCTTGCAATAACCTTGGTCCTGCAGGTGCTGTGTCACTTGCTACAGCGCTTGAAACGAACACAACTCTGACAAATTTGAATCTGTCTATCAATAACCTTGGTCTTGCCGGTGCTGAGTCACTTGCTACAGCGCTTAAAACGAACACAGCTCTGACAAATTTGGATCTGTCTGGTAATAGCATTGGTCCTGCCGGTGCTGAATCACTTGCTACAGCGCTTAAAACAAACACAACTCTGACAAATTTGGATTTGTCTGGCAATAACCTTGGTCCTGCCGGTGCTGAGTCACTTGCTACAGCTCTCAAAACAAACACAACTCTGACAAATTTGGATTTGTCTGGCAATAACCTTGGTCCTGCTGGTGCTGAGTCACTTGCTACAGCGCTTAAAACAAACACATCGCTGACAAATTTGAATTTGTCTGGCAATAACATTGGTCCTCCCGGTGCTGAGTCACTTGCTACAGTGCTTAAAACAAACACAAGTCTGACAAATTTGAATTTGTATCTCAATTGCCTTGGTTCTACGAGGGTTTCAATGGGGTGGTAGCTTTGACGGTTGACGGAAACTTTTTTCAATTTTAACGGTTGACGGTTAAATTTTAGAGCTTTTGACGCTTGGTGGTTATTAAGTGGAAATTTAGTCGAAGAGTTTAAATTAATATTAACTGTTGTGTTTTGGACGTTGTCTTGGCCTTTCACTTATATAAAAGTTCAAAATATTTTCAGTTATAAGCAAGATGTAAGAAAGAGTGTTTTTGAGAACACAGGAACTGGTTTTTCCAGTTTAGAGATTCTTCAGGAGCCAGAATCCCGTGAAGATCAGCTAAAATAGTGAGATTTAAAATAACTTGAAACTTTTTGACGGTTAATATTAACCTACATTTTTGACGGTTGATGGTTTACGATTAAATTTTAAGCCGTTTGACGGCTGACGGTTAACCCCATTGAGACCCTCTTCTAACGGTTCTGAGTCACTTGCTACACCGCTTAAAACGGCAAATACAACTCGGAAACATTTGGATTTGTCTTCGAATAACCCTGGTCCCGCATGTGCTGTTTCTCTTGCTACAGCACTTAAAACAACACAACTCTGACAATTGGATTTGTCTGGCGATAAGCTTGGTCCTGCCGGTGCTGAGTCACTTGCTACAGCTCTTAAAACGAACACTACTCTGAGAATTTTAATTTTGTTACTGTGTTAAATGACACTAGTAAATTTGTTTACGGGAGATTCACAGGTGCGCACGGTAACCATATAACCTTTAAAAACTAGTTATAGCTATCGCTAAGTGCCAATGAGCAAAGATTTTACCTGTACGCAGGTGCTGTTCAATTTGTTTAGAAATGTTATGAAGTACCGTAATTTACGAAAATGCGGGCTGCAGGTTAGTCATGTGTCTGTTATTTACCGTCATGCAACGCACTCGTGCATTTTACTTGGAATCGTTCGTGCCTAAGCTAAGGACAACGGGGGTTGAGTTGTTCAAAAACCGGTTAACACTAACTTGGGGTTAAAATGTAACGTTGCAGATTCTAATACTTAATTCCAAACTGTCTTAAGAAACTGCCTAAGTTAAAATTTAGGGGAAAACGAATTTACAGGAGTCTTCACCGTTAAGTTTAAAAACGAAATTGAAAATCGGCAGTAGCACAGGGGACTAGCTTAACCTTGTTTAGATGGAGTGACTAGTGATGATGTTAATAATTTCAGTGTATAAGGGACCAGTCATAATTTAAGTTGGAGGGGGGGGGGGGGGAGGAGAAATTGGGGGGCCTTCAATTTTTTGGGGATGGAATATGGGGGGCCTTAAAATGCCAAAAGATGACCTTGGGGGGTCTTCAAGTTTCTTTTAAGTAGCATCCCTACTGAGCAGCATGATGTTTGAGTATTAAAGGACCTGATTTTGATTCAGTTTTACACAAAGTCCTATATTGTGTAATACTACAACAATTTAATCAGCATTTTTACAAAAAGATTTAATGCTCAAATAGTAGGTGCATCAACACAACATCCATTATTGTGTAACACTGAAACAATTTCATCGGCATTTTAACAAATGATTACATGCATAAAGTCATGTTATGCAATCTCACTATCCGAATCAATATTTGTAGATGAGGTTGATGTGGACTCACTGTCTGTGTCACCGTCAAGTTTTTTGCTATTAGAGCATGTACTGCTCATATAAAAGGCAGTAAGCTTTGGCTGTCGGCGTCTCACCTTTCGATGGCTTGTGTTATCTCAATTATAACACAATCACTGATATATCCTTGCTCTATAAGCTGTTTGAGAGGCTCTAGGTGAAATCTCTTTCTCAGTTTAGTGTGAAGTGCTTCTCTGTTGTTAGTTGGCACATTCGGAAGTGACAGTGAACGGTAAAGTAAAGAAAATGTTATTTGTTATTACCATTGGGGTATTATGTATAAGAAAGGGGGGCCCTTAAATCTTTTAACATGATTGAAGGGGGGGTACGTAAAAAACATGGGTGCTATTAGTGGGGATCTGGAAAAAATTTGGAATAAAAAACAATTTTTCCTCCACTCCCCCCTCCAACTTAAATTATGACTGGCCCCTAATTTGACACAAACAATGTAAAGTCTCTAACATGGATGCTTCCTAGTGTAATAAAAAAAAACCTACGTATGTATATTGACAACCAGAACAAATGAATCTATTTTATAGAAATGGACTAATAATAATAATGTTTAATACTTCTCTAGCGCATTTTAACATAGGTATATGATCAAATGCACACACACATAACAAAAGTTATACTACCTACAGTATGTACTAAAACTATTTTCAAGTTTATTGTTGCATCAATTTAGCATGACTAAAACCGAGCAAGAGATAAAAAGGAAATAAGAGTAGAAAATAAAGAACCTCTGATAACTTAAACCAAGTCACTGTTGGCTTCTCTAAAATAGTAGGTCTTAAGGAGTTTCTTAAACTTATCAAAATTCTTCTCTATCCTGATCAGTAGTCCGGTAAGACGTATCCCAGTGTTGTAACCGGTAGGACAGGTGGATTGCAACAGTGGTTCTCAAACTCATCAATAATTCATACAGCAAATACAAAGGAAGTTAATGTTCAATGAGTGTTTGGAAATCGGATTAAAGAAAATGCTCATTTCTGTATCCTTAATTTCTCCTGGTAAAATCATTTTGTTCGAGCAGTAATATCAAGCATTCGACACAGTGTTTCATCACCAGATGAAACATCTCGAAGTTCGTCAAAAATTCTCCGATGCAAGTCGTATTTTCAACTCTCTTCTCAGTGTTTCATTTGGTGCTGAAACACTGCGTCTCATGCTCGACATATTACGTGAGGCTGAAACTTCATCAAATGCTCGTGAACCTGGTTGAATACAGCACCCTCAGCAAGTTTTGATATAAACTGGAGGTTGCTCACAGATCGCAAGTTTGAGAATGAGATGTCTTTCCAAGTTTTCTTGAGATGTGGATCGACAAGTGCGTCTTTCCAAGTAGATGGGAAGTGACCTGAAGCCAAGGAAGAATTTAGTATGCAAGTAATAACTGGATGAAGTTCCTCTAGGCAGGCTACGACCATAGATGTTGGCATTGGGTCGAGGGTAAAGGTCTTTTTATCTGACTTCTGAACGAGTCTGCGGCCTTCTTCACAAGAGAGCTGTCGAAATTTATATATGCGCTGATTCTCGTCTTGAACTTTGTCCCCATCTTTCATAGCGGCTCTAATGACACTAAGGTTATGCCGAATATTAGTGACCTTCCGACAAAAGAATCCACCCATATCATCAGCAAAAGGGCAGTTATCACTATAGTCAGGAAAACGAAGGTAATCTTTCGGCGCAAGGAGTGCTTTCATTCGTCTAAACAGCTTCCCTTGATCGCCGCTGTTGTCATCAATAAAGTACGCGTCAAAATCTTTCCGCGCTTAATTGATCGTAGGGTGACATAGTTTCTCTTTTTCTTGAAATTTAGGAAGTCTGACGTCAAGTTAGTTCTTCGCCAAATCTTTTCTGTCTTAGGTCGTTGTCTTTTCACCACTGTGATTCTTTCGTTGTACCAGGGGACCTGCGGTCTCGTATCAAGACTTGGACTGGCATGCTGGCCTATTTCGAGTTGCTTCGAACTTCAAATGAGTGGTGCGCTGGCCGATTTTTGAGCTTGTTAGTTCGCCAGAGTGATTTGGAACAAGCTGGTTCCCAAAAATCACTTGACTAAAGTGCATACACGTATTTAATATAGAAACTATAAGCTTAAAGCACAAAAAAAGCACTTTATGCTGAACTCTCGTCGATAAAAAACTCACCACGAGGATGGACTGATCACTTGAAATCACCACGAGGACGGATGGCTCAAAATGACCACTACGGACCACGAGGACGCGCGGACAACCTGAAAATACCACCAGGACGGATGGCTTCGCCTGTGTCGTGACCGAAAGCTTGAGGTTAAAAGCTGCACACGTATTATGGAATAATAGATAAAGCACCAAAAACGTACCTTTTGCTGACCTTTCGTCGATAAAAGACACCACGAGCATGGATGGGGGCTTGTGGAACGGCTTTTAATGACGGGTGGATTCATTTGCAACATACGCGCGTATAGCTGTACCATTTGCTCTCTGGAATTTTTTGTTGTTTTTTAACCTACAAACAAAAAAAAATTCCAGCGGGAAAATGCGAAAGCTATACGCGTATGTTGCAAATGAATTTACACGACGATTGGTTGAAGACAGGATGAGCACAGGACTCACAAACACGCGCACTGCTCTTGGATTCTTTGTTCTGTATCACGTGTTCGCTCGAAAACGATGTATTCTCTGTTCTGCATTGCGTCATAAAATTTACCTTATCTACCTTTTGTTACATCGATTCGAGATTCATTTTGTCTTGGAACTTTCGCGTACGGCTTTATTAGGCTGCTGCCTCGCAGCCTCGCGTCTTCGCAAGGCTGCTCATTGGCAAGAAGAAACTTTCAATTCAGTTCAAGTTTTCTCTTTCTTGTACTAATTTCCTTCGCGGGCTTTTTTTGGAGAGAGTCAGAAATTTCAGGTTAATAAACGCAAAGAAAAAATACTATTTGCTCACAAGTTTCCGTTTCTTAAAAAAAGCCATTTACAGTAAAAGCACGTGGTGAATTTTCCAAATAGCACGCGACCGATCCGTCTGGTTTGGCGTGGAAAGAACCTAGCTCATGCAGTTATTGAAAATTTTCAGCAAATAGGAAAATAATCTAAATACATGCATGTATACATAGAGGGCTGCTTGTTGGGCCACTTTGCTTTTTTTAAGCAAAGAAATTTTTACGAAAAGTGAACTGAAACTTTCTCCTTGAATTTTTTCTTTCTTTGTGATACGATTTTTCTTTAATCGTGTGATGAGTAATGGTAACAGCGCAAATAGGGCGTGTTGTGTAGTCTGTTTGTTGAGATGTTCGATTGATTATCACTTAGATTTTGGGCGATATCTCAAAAGTTCAGTTTTCCCAGCTGACGGTTAAATTGTTGGCCATTTCTCAGCTATAATTTAAACCCGTCCCGAGCTCCTATGTAGCACCTAACAAAGTCTGGAGAAATAAACTATTAACTAAATTGTACAAAAGACTGAAACAAACTTTACGTACACTTGTAATTTTATGTCCATTTTTTTCGGGTTAAGGTTGGTTAGCATGTAGTACGAATTGTTCATCCTGAGATTACTGAAACAACGTTTGTATCGAACCGTTTGTTATTCTGTTTACTATTTCACTGGACACAAGTTTGAGTCAAGTTCCTGTCCTAACAAGCATATTTATTAGTCACTACAGCTGAAACTTTGTTAAATAAAAGTATTGTCACGTATTTGTAACAAAGACGTGTGCGTGTTTCCTAACAAAATTAATCCAAACTCATTTTTCGATCTCTTTTGGTTTGCATAAAAGAAAAACATTCCAACCGAGAACAAAAGTCAAGAAAAAAAGTGACGAGCATAATGCTCTTCTTTGAGACAGGAAACCAATTTTGTTTTTAAAAGGGATCAATTTCCACCACCCGGCCGAGGCCCTGGTTCAAATCCACTCATTCGAATGTTCGCTAACGGACACCTCCCTTAAGCGAACACTTAAGTCT